TTATTTTAAAAAATAATTTCCCTTTTCCAAAATTTACAATTATTATGTCCAAACGCCCACATAGTTCTTTCAATCCAAAAATTAAAATTCCTAACATGTTATGGCAAGACATGTAGGACGAAAGTTGATGTGTTTTTTTTCTTTTGGGCTTTTCAAATCGATTTCTGCAATGAATTTGATTTAACAATAATAGCCATCTATGACTAGATATTAAAAGTAAAAATTGCATGGGGAGCCCTATTTAGTCGCCCCTTTTTAACTTATACCCGTTTTGTTTTTCTGTTTGCATCCGTACCCATGGTTTTTTGTTAAAAGCATTTTAATAAGACGATTTTGTCATTCTTTAATAAAAGACTATTGACGAAACAGTAGACTGCAGGAATAAACTTCAGCATGTTTTGCTATAAAGTTTTAGCAAAGGAACTAAATAGCTTCAGTATGCATTAGAAAAAACTCATTAGAAAATTACATACTGCAAGACAAAAACTTAAGCATGTTTAGTTTGAAGTTTAAGCAAATGAATTAAAAAACTTCAGCTTGTTTAGACTGATGTTTTGAATAAAACTCATGACAAAACTGTAGACTGCAGGACAAAATTTCAGCATGATTTGGTGTGAAATTTTAGCAAATGAACTAAATAACTTCAGCATGCGTGAGCAAAAACTCATTAGAAAATTACATACTGCAAGACAAAAACTTAAGCATGTTTAGTCTGAAGTTTTAGCAAATGAACTAAATAACTTCAGCATGCATCAGCAAAAGCTCATTAAAAAATTACATACTGCAAGACAAAAACTTAAACATGTTTAGTCTGAAGTTTTAGCAAATGAACTAAAAAACTTAGTATATTTAGTCTGAAATTTTAGCAAATGAACTAAAAAACTTAAGCATGCATAAGCAAAAACTCATTAGAAAATTAAATACTGCAAGATAAAAACTTAAACATATTTATTCTGAAGTTTTAGCAAATGAACTAAAAATCTTAAGCATATTTAGTCTGAAGTTTTAGCAAATGAACTAAAAACTTAAGCATGTTTAGTTTGAAGTTTTAGCAAATGAACTAAATAACTTCATCATGTTTAGATTGAAGTTTCGGATAAAACTCATGACAAAACTGTAGACTGCAGGATAAATAACCTCAACATGCATTAGCATGAAGTTTTAGCTACAATGTGAAACAACTTCATGTTATATTAGCATGAAGTTTTAGTTTCAACATGAAACAACTTCATGCTACATTAGCATGAAGTTTTAGCTTCAAGGTGAAACAATTTCATGCAAGTGTGAATCTGAAGATGAATCTGGACAAGTTTCTGGTTTATTGATAAAGCTGCTGAGAGGGGAGGAGGAGATCTTTTTTCACGAATGAGGTTGCAGATCACGCGATTAATGCGTGATACAGGATTTATATCTTTTGTCATGGGTGTAATTGTCATATTATTACAGATGTTTTGTCACGTGGGTACCAAATCAATAATTTTAAAAAATAGGGTACAGGTTAAAAGATGGTACAGATATAGGGTACGACTGCAAATCCCCCATATTAAAAGAATTTGATACCAGACCATTTAAACCCGATCTGTCAATTGCTGGAACTAGGGCTTTTGCATCTATACCCGATTTTGGGGTCACAATTGAAGTTATACCTACTTTTCAAAAACTTTTGCAAACTTACCCACTTTACGATTAACTTCAGACTTATCGGGTTTGAAGTTAAAAAATAATTAGTCTGAATTACAATGCACTTAAGGCCAACTAAGTCTAAAGTGCAAAAATTGTACTTAAGATGCACTTAAGGCCAATTAAGTCTAATGTACAAAAAATCACTTAAGATGCATTTAAGGCCAAATAGGTCTGAAGTGCAATAAATATTTTCATGCACTTAAGGTCAGAGAGGTCTGAAGTGAATGCACTTCAGTTGCATTTAAGGCCAATATGTCTGAAGTGCAACCAATAGTTTCATGCACTTAAAGCCAAAAAGTCTGAAGTGAAAAATTTGCACTTCAGATTCACTTAAGGCCAAATAGGTCTGAAGTACAACCAATAGTTTCATACACTTAAGACCAATAAGTCTTAAGTGAAATAATTACACTTCAGATGCACTTAAGGCCAAATAGGTCTGAAGTGCAACTAACGTTTTCATGCACTAAGGCCAAAGAGGCTTGAAGTGCAAATTTCCTAGAAACAAAAATTTGTTCTTCGAATTTTAACTATCCAATATACAATTTAACACCTAAATCTACTCCAAATGAAAAAAATAAACCGTCACAACAACTTATCACTGTATAACATCATAAACTACCTTAAAATATGTTCACAAAATACCATATAAATTCACTGAAGAAGAAGAAGGAGGAGGAGGAGGAGGAGGAGGAGGAGGAGAAAAAGGCATGAAGTTGTTTAAACTTTGGGTACTACTTAAAAAATAATTAAAAAGTGGGTACAGGTTAAATGGGGCGACCAAATAGGACACCCCTTGTAAGTTTTACGTAGGATTTACGGGTCAATAAAGTTAAGTAAGAGGGATGGCACAATCTATTGAGATTACCCCAATAAATCACTGAACTCCACTGCTTCATCAAACTACAGAACATGGGATGTCTCTCTCTCTTTCCCTCCCTCACTCACTCTATCTCTCTCTCTCCCCCTCAACACGTAGACGTAATACCTTTTCATTTTACTTTATATTTGTGAAGGAAACCTTGAAGCAATAATAAAGTTCTATCTATATAACCTATATGTCATGAGTTTGAGTTGTGGAAGCAGCCATTAAGACTAGTATTAGGGTAGACTGTCTATACCACACTCCTTAGGGTGCGGCCATTTTCCGCACTTGCATGAGCGTGAAATGCTTTGTGGACTGTACTGCCTTTTTTGTCTTTGTCTGTATTTTCGTACAAAAAGAAACAAAGGTAGGAAGTGTTTAGGAATTTGATTTTTTATTTTTTTTGGTTTATAGATATAGCAAACGGACATAATACGTTTGGTTTGATAAATGAAAAAAACTAACCAAAACGGCCTATGTACACCCTCCTCTATCCAATTGTTATCATGAAGTTTTGCTTATACTTCACTTTCAAGCAGTTTCATAGCCTGTTTGGTCAAGCTGCAAATATCAATTTATTTTGAGAAGTATTTTTTTTTTTCAAAAGTACTTTTGGTGAGAAATAGTTGGTGTTTGACTAATTAATTTGAAAAGCACTTATGAGTAGCAATTAGTGTTTGGCCAAACTTTTAAAAATTGCTTCTAAGTGTATTTTTCTCAAAAGTTCTTTTCAAAAAAGTTCTTTTGGAGAGAACCTACTTTTTTTAGTTTCTTCCCAAAAGTACTTTTTTTCTTTCCAAAAGTTTGGCCAAACACTTCAATTTTGAAAAAAAGTGCTTCTAGGATTAAAGAAGTTTGACCAAATAGGCTATCAGCCTCAAACTTTTGTAATTTAGCTTGAAACTCCTAATGCAAAATATTATGACTCGTTTTCATTAATTAGAGATAGAAGAAGGGAGGGATGTGGATCAATTAATCGAGAGACAAATCAAATTCTTGATGAAATATATTTAGATTTGTACCATTCATCTACCAAATCCTGTATCATAATTAGAGTAAGGTGGGGCTATGTAAATCAAATCCAGATGCTTATAAGCAAATTTTGGCCTCTATTGAGAATTATAGAGCTCAATGGAGAATTATAAATTGCATTACCTACAACGGTTTCTCAGGAGTGAAAACTTACATTTGTGAATTGGAGAAAATGAAAGATGAGGCACTAAAGTGTTATGATGATATAGAGGATATTTATAGTGACAACATTACTGGTCTAAGTCCACGCCATCATCATGAATTTGTTGGCCCAATAAAAGCGACATAATGAACAATAGTGATTGTTCCTTGTTTTTGACGTTTTAGAGCCATAAAACAAGAATTCGGGATGATTTTCAATTTTTTGTGTAGTAAATCTACTCCATTATATATCATGAATTCAAGCGACAAGCTATGAATGGCCTAAAATTTTGTGGCCAATAGAAGAATACATTATTACCCCCTATAGTTGCATAGATGGCCATGTACGTCGAGAATTGTTATTACTAGAAAACCAACTTCCTTTCTTTGTCCTCACTTAGCTTCACAATATGACTATGGATCCAATACTACCATTCATAAAATTGGAGACCTTTAATTCTTCCTCCTGAAGAGAAGCCGCAATCCTCTCTTGAGACTGAAACTGATACCAAAAACATCAAACATTTACTTCAACTAGTACACATGTCATGTCACCCTTTGGAGAAGAAAACTAGACTTACTCATGAGAATCCTAGTTTTGAAATAGAACATTTTAGGAAAAGCTTATGTTGGAATCCTTTACAAATGGTTAGGTTGAAAAATATGTCAAATGATAAGGACCACCAAACATGGGATGCTAACATGCCGAATGGAACAGAGCTTCACGAAGCTGGAGTTACAGTTTCAAAAGTTGGAAACAATTATAGAATATTGGAGGAAGATCACGACCTTGGAGATAACTCAAGTTTATTTGACATTAAATTTAAGAATGGAGCGATGACAATTCCTTGTTTTGAAGTCTTTGACTGTATGGAGATCATCCTGAGAAATTAAATCTTATAGCGTACGAGCAACAATCATCTGATGTACATCCTAGATAATTCAGTGATTATTCCATTTTCATGGATTATCTTATCAATTCGGACAAAATTGGGAAAGAGGTTGTGATTTCATATGACTTCTATTACAAAGAAGAATACATGATGTTAGTTCAACTGCAATTATGTGCGCTACAATCCCAAGATAACTAGAATTAACTATATAAATCGTCACTATCTATTATGACATGTCAATCCTTTGTGTTTCCATTTCTTAAAATGTATTGTATTTTCTTTTTTTAATTTTTGGCAAAAGAGTAGAAGTTTATACAACTGCAAATTGCAATTACTTTGGGTTGATACAATAACGTCTTAACTCATCTCCCTGCCTCTCTCTGTTGTAGGAATTGCAGTTTCAAGAAGAATGGCACATCATATTGAGATTACCCAAATGGATCATCAAATTCCACCACTTGTTCAAACTTCTGTAAGTAAGTCTCTCTCTCTCGGACATTAGCTAGCAATACTTCCTAGTTTTTTTTTCTTCTCTTTCAAATGAGGGGTTATAAGGTGGGAAATCAAACCCTACCAATAAGGTGAAAGTTCAGGTAGCCAACCAATTAAACTATTAAAATAACGTATTGATAAGTACTTTGTGGGTTTGATTGTTTGTTTGTTTGTTTGTTTGTTGTTTTCTTGTGTTTTTTTTTTTAACTTACCATATGTCATGTGTTATCCAAATTAGGATTGAAATGACATCTTACAATGTTTTATTTAAATTCATTCCCTAATTATATTTCCTTCATAAAAATGAAAAATAATAATTAACAAGGCATGTATGGGAGATGTAGTGACTACTGTTACTCTTCTTAGAGAATATAGACTTAATATTTTCTCTACTCACTACTTAATATTTAGTCAGAGGCAGACCCATGATTTAACGCGACGGGGCACCATTATTTTGCTTGACCAGCACCCCCTAAAGACTTTTAGTATTCAGGGTGTCAAGTTATTTATATAATCATTTTCAAGAAATACACATATACATATACAAGATTCATGTCGAAGTCTACGAGATTCGGTGACCCCTCAACACTATACATAGGTCCGTTTATGTATGTAGTTACTTAAAATTTTCATTTTGGAAATTGCCAGTCTTTAGAGTTTTTTTATTTGTTATCATTATGTAGTAACCATATATGTTGAGGAAAACAAAACGCGAGAAACAGAAACCATGATTCTTTTCAACTAATTACAGATAGAAGACGGGAGAAAGATGATCATTTAATCGAGATCAAGGAGCGATTAAAGTTACAAAGAGATAAATCTTTGAATCAAATCTTTGATGAAAGATTTGAGGATTTGGACAATTCATCTATCAAATCCACTACCATATTCAAAGTAAATGCGGGCATTCGCGAATCAAACCCAGATGCTTATACGCCAAAGATGATCTCCATAGGTCCTTACCATAAAAGAAATCAAGAACTTCACTCAATGGAAAAGTACAAACTAGTATACCTACGACGGTTTCTCCAACGAAAAGAGGGGCTTGATGTGGAAAGTTGCATAAGACAATTGGAGGAACTAAAGGATGAAGCACTAAAGTGTTATGACAATATAGACAGTGATATTGTTGGCAAATTTTCGGAAATGTTGTTACTTGATGGCTGTTTTGTGGTTGAGTTTATTCGAGAGAATTTTGAAGTTAAGCTTAGAAGAGATTACCCCCTAATTATCAACGCGCTATGGATGATGTGTCAAGTATGTCGAGATTTATTGCTACTAGAAAACCAACTCCCTTTCTTTGTCCTCGGCAAACTTCATGACATGACAAAGCGTCCTGAAGATCTAGAACCCGACTTCATACGTATGGTGAAATCAGCTCTTTGTTATATTTCGCCAAGTAAGATACCTATGCTCAAATCAGAAATTGATGGTGATGAAAGAAAAATTCGATCATTTACTTCATATGGTACACATGTTTTGTCGCCCATCAGAGATGACGAAAACTAGCCAAATCTCGAATTCTAGCATGAGAAAGGAATGTTGCAATATTAAAAGATTTCTTGGAATGAACTTGCGACTATTTAGGTCAAAAGAAATCTCTACCTCTAATTTTTGTCAGTCTTGGCAAGCTCCAAGTGCAACAGAGCTTTATGAAGCTGGAGCTAATTTCTTAAAACTAGGAAGTTTCGAAGAAGATCTTATGGATAGAACAACTATGTTCGATATCAAGTTTGAGAATGGAGCGATACAAATTCCTTGTTTCATAGTTGAAGATTCAACGGAGGCCTTTCTGAGAAATTTGATAGCTTATGAGCAACATTCGACTAACTTATATCCTAAATGTTTTTTGGATTATGTAGATATAATGGGTCAACTTATTAAGTCACGTAAAGATGTGAATTTGCTACGCCTAAATGGAATCATCCTTAACGGGCTAGCAAATGACGGAGAAGTGGCTAACATGTTCAATAAACTTGTAGAAGGGATCGTGGTTGCTGCTGACAGCACCTACTACGCTGAAGCAAGCAGAAAAATGAGTCAACATTGCAAAAAGCCGTGGAATCAAATTATGGCAAATTTGAGGCAAAATTATTTTAGTAGTCCTTGGGCAGGAGCTTCAACTGTGGCAGCCGCCATACTCCTCATACTCACAGCTATGCAGACTGTTCTAGCTTTCAGAGGTGGTATTAAGTAGTGATCGGCATTGTTGTAATATCATAAGATAGTTGATGACTATTGTGATGACCCGATAGGTCACTTTGAGTTTTAGCCTTTATTTTCGTGTTCCGAGACCTCGACTAGCTTGGTTTAGTGTTTCTCGATTTGCACGCACAATCTGTGTCTTATTCAGCAAAGTTTTTATGTGAAAAATTGAAAAAAATGTGAAATTTTGCCTTAAACTCATTTGAGTTAACTGCGATCAACATTTAGTGTAAACGGACCCGGGTCTGTGTTTTGATGATTCCGGTGGGTACGTATCGTGATTTGCACCTTGGGCGTATGCCCGAAATCGAATTCGGAAGTCCCTAACTTGAATTAACGTGATTTGTTTAAAACTTGCAATTTTAAGGTTTAAATAATTCCTAAGTTTGACCATAGGTTGACTTTGTTGCTACCGGGTTTGGATTTTGGTTCGAGAACTTGGAATAGGTTCATTTCACCATTTATGACTTGTCTCCAAATTTTAGTGCAAAACAGAGTTGATTTGACGTGATTCGGACGTCCGATTGTAAATTTGCATGTTCTTGAGTTTTTTTAAAATTTTCATTCATTTTGATGTGTGATTCATAGTTCTAGGTGTTATTTTTAGGGAGAACAGTACCTGAGATGGATTTGTCCGCAGGTGCGGCTAGTGGTCCGCTGGTGCGAAAGTCGCTGGTCAGTGGTGCTTTTAAATTGAGACTCAGCTTTCATTTCTCTCATTTGTTTTCTCTTGGGTGGCCAAATTTGGGGAGCTATTTGAGGGGGTTTTCATCATGCAATATAAGCTTTGGATCGACGGGCAACGATTTGAGGTGTTAGAGTGGCGTAGGATCTAGTTATAGAACTTCAGAGTGAGGTAAGTCTCCTATCTAATCTTGTAAGGGGGAAACTACTCCCAAGGTGATATAATTGTTATGTGCTACTAGTTGTGGGTGCTACGTACGCACGATGTGATGAGAGTCCGTACGTAGCTAACGCATGTTTATATTTGGGTAGACTTAGGACATATCATGTGACATTTGAATTATTTGAACTCATTCTGCTGGCCTAATTAATTGAATTTATAATTGAAATTGATATATATATATATATATATATAGTAGGTCGGGCCTTATCACCTTGAGTTGTTTGGCAAGTTATTTGAGAAACGATATTATATTCACTTTGTACTCATGTACTGTATAGTAAGCATGTGTTTCATAATTCGATGAGTTCCTTCCTTTCTTGTGGAGCGGGCTGAATGCCTCGGCAGTATAATAGATGCATCTATGGTTCATGTCGCTCGACCCTCAGCAGTGTACATATTATTCTGGATCTAGCCAAACGACCGCAGCATAATCGTTCATTATATCGCTGGCAGTCCGAATATTCATGAGATTATCTTTCCACTAATGCATGCCACTTTATACGGTATTCCTTATCCGTTTGATTCTGACACTTGATACATCTGAGTTGTAGAGGTAGAATACAAGACCGAGAAGTTCATACCTTTAAAAGAAATATTTGAAAGATTATGTAACTTACAAATTTACCCCATTATTGTTATGTGCTTCATATCTGCATATGATTTATTATATTGCTTTATTGGACTTCTAGTAAGTGTCAATGTCAACCCCCCATCACTACTTTACCGGGATTAGGCTAGATACTTATTGGGTACGAGTTGATTTACATACTCATGCTGCACTTCTACCTTAAATGTGCAGGATCCGACATGTTTATCTGGTGGTCATCTTGGCACGTACGCGCAGCTGCTAAGGAGAATTTATGGTGAGCTGCATCCCAGGCTACGCATCGCAGCCCACAAAGTCTTCATCGTACTATTTATTTTATACTGTCTTCTTTACATTGTTGTATTCCTTAGTAAATGCCCATGCTTTTGTGACACCGAATTCTGGGATATTCTAGTTGTTGCTTACGGATTTATATATCATTATTGCCTTTCATTTCTTTTATACACTACTGCTTACGTACGTTCCCGTGGATTTAAACGTGTAAATTTATTTCCTTCTTAAAATTTATGATTTTGAAAGTAATAAAATGAACAAATAATGTGATAGTTCACCATTGGCTTGCCTAACGACGACGTTGGGCACTATCACGGCCTATAGTGGGTTTTGGGTCGTAACATCAGATTGAGGTCCTACTGGAGATAATAAGAAGCAAGACAGAAAATATAATGATATACTGAAATAATAGGGAAGGGAAACAACAAAGAAATTACAGAAAGTAACAACACTGAAATCAAGAAAGCTAATAAAATCACGAAAGGAAAATAAGGATTTTACATGTTAAGTAAACAACAACCAAACAATACAGTAAATAGAGAAGATCAACAAGGGCACTCCCGAGGTACCGCCTCATAGTCCCAAATCATAAAAATAACTCACAGTCTTTCTTTATATCACCGCGAGGGCCTTTACATTTTTGTTTTGAAAATTATTTTTCTGAAATGGCACCCCACGTTTTAGCCCACCTTATCACTCCGCATGGCTTCTAGTAGTACCCCTACTAGCCACGTGTATCATGCCCACCTTTTCTCATCGTATGCGTTTTAACACTCACACCTTATACCACCGCATGCGCATTAATAATCACAATAGCGCGGTAGAAACCTCGTTCAAACAATAACAACAGCGCGACAGAAACCTCGTGCACACAACCAACAATCACCTCAACAGTAACACGGAAATCAATACATAACACTAAATAAAATGACACTTCACAACTTACACATTGCCTTAATAGAAACCACATCCTTTGCAACTCAACACCACACTCAACAACAAGGTATTTCAAGGATAACAATTTCAAGTAAAGGATTTTCACAGCTTAATAATGAATACAGAATTAATAAAGCAAGTAATTCACCTAAACATGTAGTACAAGTTGCAAATAAGAGATAAGACAAGTAGACATGAGAAATTAGGCTAAACATGGTGACTATAACATGCTAAAGTAACTCAATTAAGGCATGAAAAGGAAACTACGTAGCTAAAATCGGAATTTCAATATTTAGCCCGTGTACGCACTCGTCACCTTGCGTACACGGCCTTCACATATCACAAATTATCACAACAGTACCAAATTCTAAGGAAAATTTCCCCCACACAAGATTAGACAAGTCACTTACCTCGGACCACGCTAAATCAATCAATTAGAAGGCCTTTACCTGAATTTTCCAGCTCTGAACGGCTCAAATCTAGTCAAAACAATTTCATACTATAAATATAAATATAGAAAACTAATTTAAATGAATAAATTATGATTTTAGGAAAGAATTGAAAAAATCGCCCCAAAACGTCAACCCGGGCCCGCACCTCGGAACCCGACCAAATTATAAAATCCGAACACCCTTTTGATATCGATTCCAAAAATATAATAATTGTACGACTCTCCAGAACCGCGATGTAAACTACGTACCCTAGTCAGAGATGATGGATACCGGCACACCATGAAGCCTGACAAACTCGTGGATATAAACTCAAACCAACTACTCAGAAGAATAAGCAGTAACCACTGGAATGAAATGAGCCCACTTGGTCAACCTATCCACAATCACCCAAACTGCATCAAACTTTCTCTGAGTCCGTGGAAGCCCAACAACAAAATCCATAGTAATCCGCTCCCATTTTCACTCTTGAATCTCTAGCTTCTGAAGCAATCCACCTGGCCGTTGATGCTCATACTTCACTTGATGACAATTTAGGCACCGAGCTACATACTCCACTATGTCTTTCTTCTTTCTTCTCCGCTACTAATACTGACTCAGGTCCTGATACATCTTCGCGGCACCTGGATGAATGGAGTACCGCAAAATTTGAGCCTCCTGAATAATCAACTCACGCGAACCATCTACATTGGGCACATATAGCCTTCCTTGCATCTGTAATGCACCGTCATATCCAATAGTGACCTCCTTGGCATCACCATGCTAAATTGTTTCCTTAAAGACAAGCAGATGTGGGCCGTCATACTGACACTCACTGATATGATCATGAAGAGAAGAGCGAAAAACTACACAAGCCAAAACTCGACCCGGCTCAGAAACACCCAATTCAAAAGGCTTGTTGGCCAAGGCTTGAACATCCAATACTAATGGCCTCTCCGTTGTTGGTAGATATGCTAAACTGCCTAAACTCTCCGCCCTACGACTCAAGGCATCGGCCACCACATTGGACTTCTGGGGATTATATAGGATGGTGATATCATAGACCTTAAGCAACTCTAACCACTACCGCTGACGCAAATTAAGATCCTTCTATTTGAATAGATGTTGCAGACTCTGATGGTCGGTGTAGATCTCACAAGGGACACCGTACAAATAGTGCCGCCAAAATTTCTAAGGCATGGACAATAGCTGTTAACCCAAGGTCATGGACAAAATAATTCATTCTCATGTACCTTCAGATGTCTAGACGCGTAGGCAATCATCCTGCCGTCCTGCATCAACACCGCGCCTATACCAATGCGGCACTACAACCAAAATGGTCTTTAACGGCAATTATTTAGCGGCAATAAGACCATTGCCGCTAATTATTTCATGGAGGCCAAATATTACTGGCTAATGAATATTGACTGCTAATTAGTATGTTTTAGCGCCCAATCAAGAGAAAAGCCGCCAATATAGTTATGTTTTCTTTTCATATTCCCTCTAATTTCTAAATCCTTTCGCGCCTAAATTTTTATATCGTATTTACCCTAAAGACTGCAAAAAAGAGAAAAAGTTTCGTTCAAAGAAATTGCTGGCCACCAAAATTCGTTCAAAGAACAATTTCGTTCAAAGCGCCTTCTCCATTCTTCAATCCTCAGCAACCAAAATTGCTGGCCACCCTCTGAATCACCGGTAAGTTCATTTGTATTTTTTTATATTTCCATCTCTATATTTAGGTTTGGTTGGATAGGTCTATGGATTAATAAAAAATTACACTTAAATTGAAGCATTATATAGGTTAACTGGTTGGGTCTAAAATCTGAATCCTTTAATTTAAAAGAGTCTCAACTTAGTATCACGCTTTAGTGTTGGAAATATACAAGAATTTTAGTATTAAAGTATGTGCTACAGTATATCCTTTCATACACAGTTCACTCATTTTGGGAATAAGGGTTTCGAAGGTTTACATGGCATCACTAGATGAACACATATCTATGTGCCACCTCTATTAAATTTTATCGTTTAATTTGCAATATTCATTCTTCTAATTGAGTTATATTCCTTATTCTCTTGTTCAAAAATAATGTTGATGTACTTTTATTTTTGAGAAGTGGGTTGGGGTAATTTCTGATTGATATTTCTTTAATTTTTTGCTATAGATTTATGCATAAACAAGGAGATTTATATAGGAAATTTGTTAGCGTAATTTTGTCTTTTGAGAGGACGATTTATTTAACGTTTGGTTAGGTAAGTATTTTGCTCGGGAGATTACCTAATTAACTGTTAAGAAGATTGTTGGCATATAATTTTTAGCTTTATTAGTTGTATGCCAGTTTTGTACCTCAAGTATTCAAGCATAGAGGAAATTAAGTAGAAGAAGACATGTCCGATATTTGACTCCTCACTACATAGGTTTTATTTTTATTTGAAAGTTAGTAACATTTCTGCTAAATGAACATGCACATGTAAATGCAGTTGTTAGGCAAAAATACTAAAATACAAGACAAAAAAGATCAAAATACAGTAAATGAATCAGTATTTCCATATTATATTCCTTTTATTTCCTATTTTTTGGTTCTTGAATTAAGTCCTAATGAATCACAACACCCTTTTTGGATGAATATTATAGAATTATATACAGTTGTTTATCTGCTGATCTATTTGCTAATTTATTTTGGGGTTAGTCCTTAGTTTGCTAAAAGGAATTATCACAATTTCAGTTTTCAAACTCTCCTACTCTAGATAGTTTTCCTTTATTTTTTCCACAATTATTTTAGGTTGAGCAAAACATCACTTAACCAAGAGACTGGAGCAAACTGTAGCAATTTTCTACAATTCTATGTGGTTCAAAATATTGTGTATGTTGTTGTTGTCTATGTGGTTCAAGCAGATTCTGTTGTTATTGGTCTCGTAGGCACTTGAGGCTTCTAGCACGAGTAATGTTTTTGATTATTTTGTCACTGCTCCTTTTCATATTATAGGCTGATACGACCAATGTATCTTTATTAATTGATTGTGTGAAAGATTTGACTGAGTGGCAGTAGTTTTTGCCACCTCCAGCTGCAATTTTTATCTTCTGTCCACTAACTATGTCTTTCAGTATGTCCTTGAAGGAATGATTAACAATTAGTTTGACTTTCCTTGGACCTGGGATAATTGATGAAATTATCTAATGCAATCTGGGAAAATTTAGTTCAGTTTCAGGTAGCTACAAGTTCAAAATATGTGTTCCATTTGAACTAGAAAACTGGTGATTTAGTCATATTGATTACCTAAGAATGGAATTTGACTTTCACACCTACTTGCAGCTTCTCAATTTCCTTATTTTGGATAAGGAACTATGCGAACTAGAGGTGGAAACATAATTATTGTTGAACAACATGATGATGCAGATGCGCGACCTTATATTGATGAAAAGAAGAAACTGGTGGAGTTTGTGAAGGTATGGAGTTAATATTATTCTTATGATGTATTCTAGAGTAATAATATATTTTTTAATTATATGTGATATTATCTTTCAAACGTTTTCTTTTATTTCTCACAAGAAGTTCTCTATACCATCTCGTGGAGAAGCATGTCATAAAGTCAATAGGAAAGAAATGGAAAGATTACAAATGGGACTTAAAAAATATATATACGATAAAATATAAGACCAAAGATGCATTGCTGAGAAATAAACCAAGTCGTATACCACGAGATCAATGGATCGGTCTGGTCTCTTATTGGCTTTCTGATAAAGCTAAGGTATCAATTTTATACTCTTAAAAGCACACACTTAGTTTTTATAGTGTTCTGATGGATTTTGTTAGTTTTTATGTATAAATTATAAGATATTATTTTTATGTTGTACTGACAGAAGCGCACACAAGCAAATAGAAATAATAGAGCAAATCAAAAGATGCCTCACACAGGAGGGTCCTAAAGTATTGCCGCCTTGATGGATGAGAAGGTATTCTTGTCTATATTTGAAAATCTAATCTAAACTCTCTTTGTTGTGCGCATTTGACATCATTTTATTATTTTAGGCTTAAAATGGGATAGAGCCTACACGAGCAAAGTTTTTATATTAACTCATAAAAAATGTAAGGATGGTAGACCACTAGATGTAGAGAGTCTGTGAGGACAATTGTAAAATTTCTTCTTTTTCATTTTCTGATTTTGTTTTGTCTTTCCGGAATTGGGATTATGAGAACTTTATTTGGCTTATGATACCATCATTTGAAAGGTATACTTAGAAGTAACAATCTACTTTGTGCTGTAAATGATGGTAGGCAGGAGGTATACTTAGAAGTTAGGATAGTCTTGTTTAATTGTATTCGGCTCTGTTATGTTTAACTAGATCTCTGAACCATATGTTCTTTATTTTACTGAATTCTTGTTCTTTAAGTTACACAGTTGCAATGGTTGTTATGGTGTTGCAGTTACATGTCTTCTTTCCCCACAGCTACTAAAAACGACTCATTATTTTAGGTACAGACCATATAATCATAGTTTCGTGAGCCTAAATTAGTAATAGATAATCGGAACCCACGACTAGGAAAGACAATTGCTATTCTTGAGTTCCATATAGAAGAAAACAAACCTGTGTAAAACTTATGTTAGGGAATACTTACACCTGTTGGAGCATTCACTTGTTCAACGGTGCAAAGATTTGTGCATGTTCCCAAGCATTCAAGTACGTTATAAGATTTCTTATGCATTTAATCCTTCAAGTTCTATGGGTTTATTATTCGTAAAGTTAGTAAAGTTATTTAAGGTTTCAGATTTCTCTTCCAATTTTCCTATACTACTTTTGTTTCTTCTTTTTGCCACTGCTAGCTTACTGATTGACCAACAACCAACCTTTTGAAGTATTAATGAATAGCAACAAATATCTTTGATAAGTTATGTTGTTAGTTTCTAGACAGATAATAGAAGGCTGATTGTTGCAGCTTTGAAATTAATTAAGGGATGTTTGTTGTCTACTATAATAATAGAAGGATATACCTTTGGTTTGGGTCATACTTTTAAGGATGTTTTTAGCCGAAAACTCTCCCCTTCCATGTCCAACTGAATAAAATGATCTTTTTACTATGCTACACCTAGTTTTTGAGGGATTAACATCAGTAACTTGCCTTTGCTGATGTTGTATAATCTCTTGAACTGCTAAGTAAAGTTGTCCTTCGCTGAATCCATGGAAATGATTTTCTTATAAGCTAATTTGCAGATTCATCATCTTCTTCCTCATGTTAATGCACTCATTTTCCATACTTGTATCATGGAACTGTACAAATTATATCAAAAAGATGAGATTAACAACACTCACATTGTTCACTTCAAAAGTATATAACCAACAGAACATGTATATCTATGGCAGACAAGTATTGTTTATATGAAATGGTAGCATATTGAATACTTGTCAGATGTTAGCTCTTTATTGTTTTCCACAATGTTACATCTAAGTTGTATTCTAATACTACATGTTTCATTTGCCACATTAGCTAACTCTTTTATCTTCCTTTTGTCATCCTTTGTTCTTTCTTAGACAAAATGTTTTTGTTGTATTCCATTACTATAACTTGATGTAGGAAGCTTCAACTTAAGAACGATTTGGCTTATTAGAAACTACACTTCAATATCTTCAACCATGATGAATTTGGTACCCTAGTTCGCATGCAGCCTCATTTTTCACATTGTTTTAAGAATTTACAATATATTTAGATGTGTAGACTCATGATGTTTTATACATTACATTCCATGTTTTGACACATTTATTTTATTTTTTTCAGGTCGTTTGTTTTCGCATGTGGAAGATTTCAATATGATGAAGAGTTACCGAAACTATTTGAATATATTGTTTGATAGGATTAGTTATATCAGTTCAATCAATATAAGTTTAATTTAAAAGTTGTGACCTTAATATTTTGGATTGGTACTTCCTTTGGATTGTTTAGATTCAATGAGATATATTTTGTTTTATGAATTAATAGTAATATGTTTTCTAGCATTTGCCTACCTTTATTTTCACCAAGAGGTACTCTTTTAATATTAGTGACATTTAGTTGAATTTACATGCCATTAAAATAGCCTCTAAAAGGTCAAAATAAGATATCTACAGGAAGGATACAATAGTCAATCTAATTGCCACAAACATTTGTCGTTAAAACTACTGACTTTTAGCAACAATATAATTGAATTTATCTGCTATAAAAATTGACACTAAAAGAGCATAGTTAGTTTGTTATGGATTTAATTTACCGGCCAAAATTATTGTCGGTAAAACTAACGATCTTTAGCGGCAATACATTACACCCTTTACCAGCTTTTGTGAGAATGGCCGCCAAAGGCTTTGCCGACCCCTGCATTACCGGCTAAATACCATTGGCCGGTAAAGGATATAACGACTATTGTTATTGCCGCTAAAGGCATTTTTTAGTGTCGTTAAAGTCCCTTTTTGTAGTAGTGGCGATCACAATACACAGTATAAGACCCTGAACCTGTAGGCAATACCAACACGGCGGTTGTAGTCAAAGCAGTCTTGAGCTTTTGGAAGCTCTCCTCACACTCCTAGGTCCACCTAAATGGAGCACCCTTCTAGGTCAATCTGGTCATAGGTACTACAATAGATAAGAAGCCCTCCACAAATTGACTGTAATACCCCGCCAAACCAAGAAACCCCTGGATCTTCGTAGCTGAAGAAGGTCTGGGCCAACTCTGCACTGCTTCAATCTTCTTCGGATATACTTTGATACTCTCACTCGATACTATATGACCCAAATATGCCACGGAATCTAGCGAGAATTCACACTTCAAAAATTTTGCATATAACTTCTTTTCTCTCAAGGTCAGAAGCACAGTCCTCATGTGCTTCTCATGATCCTCCCAGCTCTGGGAGTACACCATAATTTTGTCAATAAACACAATAATGGATGAGTCAAGATAGTGCCAGAATACACTGTTCATCAAGTGCATCAATGTTGCTGGGGCGTTGGTCAGCCCAAATGACATTACAAGGATCTCATAATGACCATACCAAGTCCTAAAGGCAGTTTTCAGGATATTTGGCTCCCGAATCTTCAATTGATGATAGCCCGAATGTAAGTCAATCTTGGAGAACAATGTGGCACCATGTAGCTGATCAAATAGGTCATTAATACGTGGCAATTGATACATATTCTTCATTGTAACGATGTTCAACTGGCGATAATCAATACACATGCGCATGAAACCATCCCTCTTCTTTACAAACAAGACTGGAGTATTCCAAGGCGACACACTGGGCCGAATAAAGCCCTTATCAAGCAACTCCTGCAACTGCTCCTTTAACTCCTTCAACTCTGGTGGGGCCATATGATATGGAGGGATAGAGATGGGATGAGTGCTCGGTAATAAATCAATACCAAAGTCGATATCCCTGTCAGGTGGCATGCCCGAAAGATCATCCGGGAATACATCTGGATAATCCCCCACTATTGGAACTGACTCGACGGTAGGAGTATCAACACTAACATCTCTCACATATGCTAGATATGCATTACACCCCTTCTCAACCATCCACTAAGTATTTAGAAATGAAATAACCCTACTAGAAACATAATCTAAAGTACCTCTCCACTCTAACTGCACGGTCTTGGCGTGATAATCAAGAATAACATGATAGGGCGACAACTAGTCCGTGCCAAAAATAATATCAAAGTCTACTATACTGAGCAACATAGATCGGCTCTGGTCTCAAAACCACCAAGAATAACTAAACATGACCGATACATACGGTTAACAACAATAAAATCTCCCACAGGTATAGATACATATACATGAGAACTCAAAGAATCACGGGATACACCCAAATACAGAGCAAAATAAGATGACACATATGAATAAGTGGAGCCTGGATCAAATAAGATTGATGCATCTCTATGACCGACTGGAACAATAAATGTGATGACAGAGTCTGATGTAACTGCCTCCGTCCTAGCAGGAAGAGCATAATATCTGGCTTGGCCTCCCCCTCTAGGGCGACCTCTACCCGCTCGACCTCCACCTCGAGGTGGCTATGCAGGTAGAGTGGTAGCTGGTGCGGTAACCATGGCCTGAGGGCCCCGTGGAGCATGCAGAGCCTGAGTAGTCTGTGGAGGTGCACCCCTCCTGAGTTTGGGCAATCCCTCGCCATATGACGAGTTTCACCGCACTCAAAACAAGCTCTCGGAGGACGTGGCTGTTGTGGCTGGCTCGGGCCTGATCGGCTAGACTGACCGCTGAAAGCACCCCGTGCGGGAGGTGCACCGGACAATGGCGGTGCGTAATAGGGAGCCTGAGGCTTGGGAGTGGCTGGAATACCGCTGGAAGCTGGAAGTGCTGAATGAATAGGGTGACTCACATAGCCCCTCCAATGACGAGCTGCAACTGGGGCACAGGTACCACTATACGTGCCAGAATCTCGAGACATTTTGGTGTCCCTCTCCTCTCTCTCCCGAGTCAACATACCCTCCAGTCTCCTAGCGATCCCTACTACCTGCTTGTATGCGATGTCCATCTCCAACTCTCAGGCCATTCTAAATCTAATACTGGGGTTGATCCCCTCAATATATTGACGGACTCGCTCTCTGACAGTAGCAACCTGGTGCATGCCTATCCAAATCACTGAACTGGACCGTATACTCTGACACACTCATAGACCCTGACGCAACTGCTCAAACTCTGAGCGCCATGCATCTCTAAGACTCTAGGGAACATACTCCCTTAAGAACATATATGAGAACAAAGTCCAAGTGAGTGAAGCTATCTCGGCCTGACTACAAAACTCATATGCTCGCCACCACTAATAAGTCTCTCCCTTAAGCTGGAACGTAGCGAAAGCGACCCCACTAGTATCACCTCTAGGACCTGGTCAACCTGGACCCTCTACTCTAGGGTATGAGCGTCGGGAGTTTGTACTCCTCCCCCAGCTTGAGATGTGGCAGGAGCAAGTGGGATTAACCCTCCCTGAGCTAAAGTGACGAACATGCTCAGAAGATGGGTGAGAGTCTCCTAGAGAGCTGGTGCAGTAACAGGCGTCTCAAGTGCCTGCCCTCCAACTGGAGCTACTGATGGATCCTCTGTAGCAGCTCGTGCGGGTGCTCTGGCTGCACCATGTAGACGTCCTCGGCCTCTACCCCGGCCTCGGCCTCTCGCAGCTCTAGCGGGACGCGGGTGTCTGGTCATCTGATTCAATTGTACGTGTCTCTCACTATCTATGAGAGAATAGAAAGACATAAATTTAGAATCCGACGTCAAAGCTATTACATGATAAGGAATCAAAGAAGTGAAGCTTTTCCTAACAGTTCCATAGCCTCCCGAAGATGAGTACAGACGTCTCCATACCGATCTGCGAGACTCTACTAAACCTGTTTGTGACTCATAACACCTATGAACTTAGGGCTATGATACCAACTTCTCACGACCCCAATTTTCCTCTGTAGGATGTCGTGACAGCACCTAGTCTCCAAGACTAGGTAAGCCTAACAAACATGCGGAATAACTAAAATGATTATTTAAATCTCAAAACATCAACAACTATATAAAATAAAATCTGCAACTCAACATGTACATTTCCCAAAACCCGGTGAAATATAAGTCACAAGCTCTATATACAATGCTGAATAATCTTATACATCATTGTTTATAAAAAAACATCAAGAAATAAGGAAGAACGGGGTAGATGGGGACTCCGAGGCCTGCAGACGCGGGCAGGTGTACCTTGAAATCTTCAAAGGTAAGCAACTCAACGCGCTAATACCGAGGTTGATAGGATGTACCTGAATCTGTACAAAACATGTGCAGAAATGTAGTATGAGTACACTACAACGGTACACAGTAAGTGCCAAGCCTAACCTCTATAGGGTAGTGACGAGGTCAGGTCGAGGCCCTACTCGAGATAATAAGAAGCAAGACAAAAAATATAATGGTATACTAAAATAATAGGGAAGGGAAACAATAAAGAAATTACAAAAAGCAACAACACGTAAATCAAGAAATCTAATAAAATCACGAAAGGAAAACAAGGATTTTACATGTTAAGGAAACAACAACCAAACAATACCGCGAATAAAGAAGATCAACATGGGCACTCCCGAGGTACTGCCTCGTAGTCCCAAATCATAAAAATAACTCACAATCTTTTCTTATATCACCGTGGGAGCTTTCACATTTTTTATTTGTAAATTATTTTTCCGAAATAGCACCCCGCGTTTTAGACAACCTTATCACACCGAATGACTTCTAGTAGTTCCCATACTAGCTACGCATATCAATCTCACCTTATCTCACCGCATGCATTTCAACACCCAGACCGTATACCTGCGCATGCGTATCAATAATCACAACAACACGGAAGAAACCTCATACAAACAATAACAACAGTACGACATGAACCTCGTGCACACAACCAAACAATCACCTCAACAGTAACACAAAAACCAAAACATAACAATAAATAAAATGACACTTCACAACTTACACCTTGTCTCAATAGAAACCACGGCCTTTGCAACTCAACACCAAACTCAACACTAAGATATTTCAAGGATAGCAATTTCAAGTAAAGGATTTCCACATCTTAATAATGAATATGGAATTAAGAAAGCAAGTAAGTCAACTAAACATGTAGTACAAGTTACAAATAAGAGATAAGACAAGTTGACATGTGAAATTAGGTTAAGCATGGTGACTATAACATGCTAAAGTAATTTAATTGAGTCATGAAAAATAAACTACGTAGCTAAAATCGAAATTTCAACATTTAGCCCGTGTACGCACTCTTCACTTTGCGTACACGGCCTTCACATATAACAAATTATCACAACAGTACCAAATCCTAAGGGGAATTTCCCCAATACAAGGTTAGATAAGTCACTTACCTCAGACCATGCTAAATCAATCAATTAGAAGTCCTTTTCCTTGATTTTTCAACTTCGAACAGCTCGAATCTAGCCAAAATAATTTCAT